AAAAATATTTATTTTAATCAATATTTTACTAAATATTAATTGTGTTGAACGTGAGAGTGATGTCAATATAACCACAACAATAAATCCCATATTAGAGGGACTATTCAATCAAACCGTCGATATAGAGATGGCAACCATCGACGGCACCGGCTTTGGTATGAATGGCTTTATTTATTAATTAAATTTTTAATTGCATAAAGTTTTTGATTAAATTTTTAATAAAAACAATCTGCATGTAAACATATTGAAAAAATGAAATTGTTAATATATTTAGTATTATTAATTCAAATGACAACCATATTATGTTTAAATGAACATAGAATTAGAAAACGATTCTATATTCTAGATTTAATGCCGGCACCAATAAGGGCATTAAACTGTCACAATATCAGCGAGGTCGAACATAACTGTTCCAACAGCTGCCCGGCCAGTTGTGAGGAGCCGAGCAAACCCGCCTGTCGTAATAACTACTGTTGGAGAGGCTGTGAATGCAAACCCGGTTACGTGAAAGAGCACCAGAATTGGACGTGTATTCCCGTCGAGTTGTGTCCGAGTGAGACATTTGTTTAGTTTTGCATTTAAACTTAATTTAAACTTAATTAATTTAATTATTTTGTCGCTCACAGCGTGTGGCGTAAACGAGCACTTCCGGGACTGCGGCAGGAATTGCGAGCCCACGTGTGGGAACTACCAAAACACTCCCCCGCACTGTAATAGCAATCATAATTGCAAGAGGGGGTGTTTTTGCAATTTTGGTTACGTTAGGGATATGGATAAAAACGGCACGTGTGTCCTCGTTGACCAGTGCCGTACGTGTACTCACTATTTTAGTTTATAATTTATCAATTAATCGATTTATGCATTAATTTGTCAAAATAATAGCTCAAAAATGCGGTCAAAACGAATACTACGAAGAGGCGGGCGTTCCGTGTGTGCGGACTGCGGCCAATCCGCGACCCAAATGCCTGGACGAGCCGCCGGTGCCCGCGTGTGTTTGCAACACAGGTTACGTACGAAACAACCATACGGGAC